TTTATCATTTACATGCCATAATAAACTGCATCATTTAAGGTATACAATTAATGTAAACATATGTAAACCTCGGGGTGCCTGGGTGGCTCAGTGGATTAAGCCTCTGCCTTCAGCTCAAGTCATGATCTCAGGGTCCTGGGATCGAGCCCCATATTGGGCTCTCTGCTCAGCAAGGAGCCTACTTCCCCCTCTCTCTCTGCCTGCCTCTGTGCCTACCTGTGATTTTGCTGCTCCCCCTGCTTGTGTGTTCTCTCTTTCTCAGACAAATAAATAAAATCTTTAAAAATAAATCAATTAAATAATAAATCTTTTTTATAAATAAATAATAGTGTCTAGTTGTTACAGCATTATTTTTGTAATGCTTTCCTTTCCTAGTTGGATGCTGTAAAAACAAAAACCATTATGGACTCCCTTCTCTATTCTGTTGATCTATATTTATATCCTCTGGACCTTATCACATTGTCTTGATTTTTTTAGCATTACAAGTTTTGAAATCAGGTAGTGTAAGTCCTTCAACTTTTTTGTTTTGACTTGCTTTCACTATTCTCATTTGTATTTCCATATAAATTGTATAATGTTTGTCAGGTTTTTTTCAAAAGCTCTTATGAAATTTTTATTGGAATTGCACTGAGTCTATAGATAAATTTGAAAAGAATGAATATCTTAATATTGAGTCTTCTACTTCATGAACATGGTATATCTCTCTTTATGTAGGTCTTTAATTTTTCTCAATAATGTTCTAGTTTCCAGTAAAGTGTTTATTAATTTTATTTCTTTTACATTTTATTCTTTTTATATATTCTCATGTGGATTTTTAAAACTTCATTTTCTATTTACTGTTCAATATATAAAATACAATTTTTATAATAAACTTGTATTCTGTAATCTTGCTGGTAGTTTTGTAGGTTCCTTAGTATTTCTACATAAACAATCATGGCATCTGCAAATGAGGATAGTTTTACCTTTTCTTCTTCCAAGTTCTATATTTCCTTTCCCCCTGCCAGGTTTTGTCTTTGGTCTTTTGCCTTTTGCCTTTGCATAAAGACTTGTACCTTGAAAGTGTTCCCTTTTCTTTATTCTGAAATGGTTGTACAATCTTACTGTTATTTCTTCTTTGGTAGAATTCAGAACTGAAACCATTTAGGCCTAGAGTTTTTTGGTGTAAAACTCATAATAAATTAAATTTTTTATTAATTCATTTCCATTTAAAAATATAAATATAGGGTCATTTTTATTTTGTTTTTTCATTTTGTGTCCATTTTGGTAACTGGATTTTTAAAGAAACTTATTTTTTATCAAAGTTGTTGAATTTATTGTCATAAAGTTGTTCACAGTGTTCTCTTACTATTCTTGTTGCTATCTGTAGGATCTGTAGTGATAACTTCTCTTCCATTTCTGATGTTGGTGATTTCTTCACTCTTAGCCTTGTTCAATCTAGTTAGAATTTAATCAGTTTTTTTTAAATCTTTCCAGATTTTGGTTCAGGTCATGATCGCATGGGTCCTGAGAACAAGCCCAATGTTGGGCTCTGTGCTGAGTGTGGAATCTGCTTGGAGATTCTCTCTGCCTCTCCCCACGTATATACTCTCTCTCTCTCTCTCTCTAAAATAAATAATTAAATCTTTAAAAAAAAGTCTTCCCAGAAAACTACCCTTGACTTTCAATTTTCTCTATTGTTTGTTAACTATTTAATTGATTTCTGCTTCATCTTTATTATTTCCTTCCTTGTACTTACTCTTGAACCTTAGGTCATTAATTTTGGACTTCATTCCTACTATTTAAAGTTATAAATTTGGGGCACCTGGGTGGCTCAGTGGGTTAAAGCCTCTGCCTTCAGCTCAGGTCATGATCCCAGGGTCCTGGGATCTAGCCCTCCATCGGGCTCTCTGCTCGGCAGGGAGCCTGATTCCTCCTCTCTCTCTGCCTGCCTCTCTGCCTGCTTGTGATCTCTGTCCAATAAATAAAATCTTCTTTAAAAAAGTTATAAATTTGTCTCTAGTACTGCTTTTAAGTATATTCTACAAATCTTGATATGTTAGATTTGCATTATCATTCAACTTAAAACACTTTCTAATTTCCTCATGATTTCTTCTTTGACCTGTGGTTTATTTAGATGGGTGTTGCTTAATTTTCAGGTGCTTGAGGTTTTCCTCTGTGTCTTATTGTTTACTCATTTCTAATTTATTCTCTTATAGTCAAAGCACTACTTTGTATGATTTCAGTCCTTTTGAATTTGTTGAGTTTTGTTTAATGGCTCATCATATGAGCTGTTTTAGTGATTATACCAAGTATACTTGAAAAAAATATGTATTCTGCAATTGTTGGGTATAGTGGTCCATAAATAACTATCAATTCAGTCACAGTGATTGATAGTCTTGTTCAAATCCTCAGTCCTTCCTATCTTTACTGATTTGCTTTCTAGTTGTTCTGTAATTGCTAAGAGTTAAAATCTCCTATTGTGATTATGGAATTATCTTTTTATCTCTTTAATCCTGCAATTTTTGCTTTATGTTATTTTGAGGCTCCATTATTAGGAACATACATATCAAGAACTATAAAGATTCTGAGACTTTACTCTATTTGAAAGCTAAGAAGTTAGCCTGTCACAATTTCATGGGGACTTGGCTAATGACATGAGATTCTTGGGTCAGAGACAGAGGACAATTTATTACTCACAGTTTATTACTCACAGGATATCATGATATGTGTGTGTGTGTGTGTGTGCGCGCGCGCGCGCACGAGCTGATTCTCTAAGACTTGATTTCCGCTATGCAACCGTATGAGTTTTGATGTTTGTATTTTCTATAGTGTTTTATGTGTGGTCTCAGCTGCATTTTCAGGATTTTGGTTTTTTGGTTTTTTGGTTTTTTAATTAGAAGATGTTCATGTTATAGTTCCTGTCTTTCTTATTTTCAGTATTTATGTCTATCAAACCTTTTTTCTGGGTATTTCATTTAAAAGTGCACATATAGAAATATGCTGTATTTCACTAGTTATAAGTAAGTGTCTCTTATATCCTCAAGAAATGCCATTTTTTTATTATGTCAGTAGCAAGAGTAATTTTTTGGAGGTGGAAAGCATGTACAGTTTTGTAGTGTTTCATTTCCAGTACTCTTCATTTCTTCCTGAAGATTCAGTTTTCCAATTTTCCATCTTATGTCATTTCCCTTAAACCTGAAGAACGTCATTTAGCATTTTCTGTAGTGCCATTCTGCTCGAAACAAATTTTCTTGGTTTCTTTTATCTGAAAATGACTTCATTTTTTCTTCACCATTAAAGAATATTTTCACTGGTATTAGAATTCTGGAATGACATTTTTATTCTTTCAGCACGTTAAAGATGTTGTTCTGCTGGTTTCTGCCCTTTATTGTTTTGATTGAGAATCATTGGTGATTCAAATTGTTGTTCTCTGTATTCAGTTTGGCAGCTTTCAAGATTTTGTCTTTGGTTTTCAACAGTTTGCTATGACATGTCTGGGTGTGGTTTTCTTTTCTTTTCTTTCTTTTTTTTTTAAGATTTTACTTACTTATTTGACAGAGATCACAAGTAGGCAGAGAGGCAGGCAGTGGGGGGGAGGGCAGGGGAGCAGGCTCTCTGTCGAGCAGAGAGCCCGATGCAGGGCTCGATCCCAGGACCTGAGATCATGACTGGAGCTGAAGGCAGAGGCCCAACCCACTCAGCCACCCAGGTGCCCCTGGATGTGGTTTTCCTTATATTTATTTTATTTTAAATTCACTGAGCTTCTTGACTGTGTAAATTTGTTTACCAATTTGGAGAAATTCTGGCTTATTCTTCTTTAAATATTTTTTCTACCCCATCTTCTCTTACCTTTTCTTCTGGGACTGTAGTTACACAAATTAGACCTTTGATATCATCCCATGAGTGATCTTTTAATGTAAATCTTACCAATTCACCTTCTACTTAAAACCTCTCAATGATGTCTCTTTACAACTAAAATACAATCCACACTCTTCACCATGTCTTTTACGGCCTCATGATCCACCTATGACTATCTTTTGGACCTCATTCCTACTTCTTTTCCCTTTATTCACTCTACCGCAGATTTTTTTTTTTTCTTTCCCTGGAACATATTAGTCATTCTTGCTCTTTGTACTTGATACCTTGAATGCTCTTCCCCCAGATCTTTCTGAGGCTGACTCCTTTGGACATCTGCATAAGTTACCTCAGAGAGAATTTCTCTCACCACCCCAACTAAAAGTTGCCCCAGTCCCTTAATACATATATACATTTTAGACCCGTATCTGTTTTAATAACTTTACTGAGATAGAATTTACATTAAAAAATTTAACCCACTTAAAATACACAACTCAGTGGCTTTTAGGATATCCATAGTCATATGTAACCATCACCACAATCACTTTTATACATATCTATCTTACGCTTACACATATCTATCTTACACATATATTAACTGTTTTCTAGTACCAAGAACAATGTCTGGTATATAGTGCATGCTCAATAAAGTTTTATGAGTAGATGAATTTCATTAGCTCTAAGATAATTTAGGCATTAGCCTCTAGTAAAATATGAGGGAAGTTCATTTGACTACTTTCAGCTCTAGAAGTATTCTTTGATCAGAGCTATGCTCTTTTGAGGGCTCTCTAAAACAGCCTAGCCCATATTTTAAGAGTTATTGCAGGAAGTTCCAAAAAAAAGTCTTTTGATATAATGAATATAAGTCATATTACACATTTCCCTAAGAGAAAATACCCATCTTTTATTGACCTGACAGTTGCTGAGAAGCAGAAAGCCTCTCAGAATTATTGCTTTGCTATTCTCAAAAGTACTTTGAATATTGTTTATTTGTTTAGATCTTTGAAATAGATGATAGAATCACTAGTACTTGTTTTATGTACTAATTATGGGTAATAGTAGGTTATTCATGAGATTCCAGACATCCCCTTTCTTTGGTACCTTTCATGTGGAATGTCAGTTCTGAGTTTGGGTGATCTGCATGGTATCTATCATCTTCTTTATAGGCTTTGATGCGACCTGGAAGAATTGATAGAATCATCTATGTGCCTTTACCAGATGCAGCAACAAGAAGGGAAATATTTAACCTCCAGTTTCGCTCTATGCCAATCAGTAATGATGTGGATCTGGATGAACTCATCCTCCAAACAGATACATATTCAGGAGCAGAGGTAAGATAGTTCTGCTCAAAATACCTTGGTGACAGGAAAGCAGTGGGTTGGGGTCATTAGCAAAAAGACTGCTTGATACCAACTGTTTTAAATAACTGTATGTTAAGAAATCTTCAAACAGGAAATGCACTATATAACAGGTAGTCACTAAATTAAATTGCATTTTACTGGCCTCTATTGCATCTCAGTTGTTTTTACCTTGCTTCTGTCACTTCTCAAAATGTAGTCTTCAGAGAATTAACATGATATAGTGGGGAGAACATTGGACCAGAAGTAGAAGTTTCTTCTTTGGGGTTTCTTGATATACCAGCTTCCAACCTTCTATGCTTCTCTGAACTTCGATTTCTTGACCTGTCAAAAGGAAATGAAACACAACTTTACATACTGTTTTCTAATAGAGGTCATAAAAATGAAATGAGGATGTCATGCAAGTGCTCAGAAGTACAAGACTTGGCAGAGAGATTATATTATTACCATCTTTTATCATTTTGGAAAATTATGTCAATCTACTTATATATTAAAAATTCATAAAAACTGTAAAAGAGGGTGTCTGGGTGGCTCAGTTGGTTAAGCATCTGCCTTCGGCTCAGGTCATGATCCCAGGGTCCTGGGATGGAGTCCCACATTGGGCTCCCTGCTCTGTGGGGAGTGTGGTTCTCCCTCTGACACTCCCCCCATTCGTGCTTGCTCGCTCTCTCTCTCTGTCTCTCGCATATGCATGCTCTCGCTCTTTCAAAGCAATAAAATTTTAAAATAAATAAATAATAAAACTGTAAAAGGGGCAGCCTATAATCTACCCTTAGCTGGGAAAATATACTGTCAATAAGAACAGCAAGACCTCTGTGAAAATATGAAAGTTTTTAAGTATGGCAGGTAAACATTTCTTCCTCTCCTTAGCAGCTTTTTGCTTTGGCCATTTTTCTTTACAAAATAAAAATCCATTAAAATAATTGTGCTTCTTTTCTACATGCATTTCTCAAGAAAGGACAGACTGTAGTCCTCAACACAGAAATATCTTCTGAATACCACCAATATGGATTTGTATGGGGAAATTAATATATTTTCAAGTAAGAAATCATTTTTCTTCTGAATTATCCAGCATACAGACTCCACATTCTGTCTGCTTGCTATTGTTCATAATCTGTCCTCTCTAAAAACCAAAAAGAGATTAATACCTAACAGATCAATAGTGTACTCAGAATTGTAGGTAAATTTACATGTAGAATTGAACCATGTCTATCATTCAGTCATAGTTAATAACAACAACTAAAATAGATCTAAATCTCTTCATTGTTTCGTCTCAACTATGAACTATGTATATTTGATTTCCCCACCTGAAGATTTTTCATTTTCACTGGGAGAGAAAAAAAAAAAAGTCATGTAGAAAGTATCTTGAGAAGCAGTTGAAGTACATACATTTTTAAGTCCTATCTGAAAAAATAATCCTTATGAGCATCTTCTTGACATGACTGTCCATTAAGTTAAAATGAACATATAGTTGCTGTTAACTGATTGCTCCAACATTTCTAGAATTCAGTTTTTGTTGTGAGACCAAGGGCTGGCATCATGTATATATGTCAGTTTACAGGAAGCAGCAAAGAGAAGAAACCATAAATCTTTCACTTGAGCTGAATGAAGTGGAAGAGCAGTTAGCAAGGTATAAATGTGCCTTTCTCACTTCGAAGTAATTCACGGTAGTAGCATAGAAGTGCAAAACAAAAATCAAAGCCTATGAGGTTCTGTCTGGCTGAAAGGAAAAAACTCATTTGGTGCCAGGAATTACTGTACCAGCTTGCTAGTTCTTATGTAGTACATGTCTTACTCAATCTGTAATATAAGCACATTCATTTCTGATTAATTTTTATATCAGATCTTCTAAAAATAGTCACAAGGAAAAAGTAGCAGAAAATTCTGTCCCTCCTTGAACTACATTTTTAGGTCCTATAATGATTGGGTGGGGGAAGTATATCCCACCCTGGTCCTAATTATAGCCCATATATTATTATAACTTCATAGAAATTTTATTCAGAGCTATTTCTTAGTAGTTCTAAAAGTCTTAAAATTAATAAATAGGAAATTTAAGACCGACAACATTTAGCTTCAAATAATATAAGATTCCATCTTTCCCCCCACCACTTTCCTTCAGAATAAAAATGGTGCATCAGTGTTGAAAGCCAAAATTAGTTTTGATTTATTGTTGTTGTTGTTAGCAGCAAGATAAATTCAAGCTGGAACCTAGTCACCTGACTCCGGCAGAGCCAGTGCTTTACGGCTGATGTAACTAATTTTATTTCGTCCTCAGTCTAATGCAGATCCTTCAGCACAGAACCTATTACATTGTATATATTTAACAAGCATTTAACCAACTGATAAAGAAAAACAATTTTAAAATTATATTTAGGAAAAATAGACTTCCCTTTGTCATTATCATAAGGTGAGCCCTCTAACTTCGTAGCAACACACCTTGCTATGGCCATAGCTGCTTTTTCGAATTTAGAGAGTATCTCAGTGGCCACTTTTGGTGTAAAATGAAAGTACTGATAAATTAGTTGTCTTCACAGGAGTGTTGTATCATCATTATTATATAAGTAATATATATATATATGAATTATCTATAATATATAGTATATATTATATATTAATTTAAACTGTACAATCTTAGCTACATGAACAAGAATGTGAGCCAGAGATGAGGAAATTGTTGACACCAGTGTCTGTCTTTTAGAAACCTAACTGATGTATTTTTTTAATGTTTAATTTTAATTAAAAAGCTATAGAGAGGGGTGCCTTGCTGGTTCAGAGGTAGATCATGTGACTCTTGACTTTGGGGTCGGGAATTCAAGCCCCACGTTGCGTGTAGAGCTTACTTAAAAAAATAACGACAAAAAGCTCTAGAGAGTGATTAGAAATGATATGGGTACTTTTAATGACTGAACTAGAGGAGTTACTTTTTAAAAATGTTTTCTTTCAACCTATTTTTATTTTGCCCAGTGAACATGGTTTATTAAAAGCTTACATGACCCAGTGTTTTAAATGGCCTCTTAGACCCCTGTGAGTTACCCCATTTTCCTTCCTTGGAGAGGGTATACAGAGAACTGAAGCATTTCTTTAATTCTCAGGAGAGTCCCAAGGGGAAGTTTCTTGCCAACTGCAAGGGGAGTCAGGTCACTAGGGAGCAGCCTCCATGGAGAGGCTGCAGCAGGTAGCATCCTTCAGCCATCACTGCGCCCACCGCTCCCTGGTGGCCAGAACCTCTTTGTCTTTGGCTTCTTGGCTGTAGCTCCCAGTTAATAGAAAAACATGTTGCCATTTAAAAGCAGATGGGAATTCAGTTCAGGAGGAAATAATAAGTCTTTTTTGGTTATACCCATTGTTTTCTTTTGCTTTGATTTTTGTTTTTTAAGTTATTTGTAGCAGATTCCACTTCGTTTTTTCATTTGTCTTTTATCCAGTTATCTTAGATACTTTAGGAAAATTTTTATCTTACCCACCAACAGGAAATCAACAGTCACAAATATGTGCACATGAAAGGCATAACCCGGCCCATTACCCATGTGCCATGTGCTTAGGAACAGAGGTGACGAGTAAGATAAATAATTTCCTCTCTCTATAGGAATTTGCTGACATAGGCTCATACATAGTGTCTGTAAACTTGAAGTTGAATGTTTACTTGCATTTGGGTGTTATCCTCCTGTTAGTGCTTATCTCATTAAGTGAAATTGATAATATGTCTAAGAGCCAGTTACCTGTTATATATTTTATAAATAATATAGGCAATCAGAGCATTTATTTCATACATCAAGATTTGAGAATTCAACTTCCAAGACAAGCAATAAAAGGAAAACAAAGCAAAATTTTAGTGTTGCATTTGAATAGACTTTTAAAAGAGTTGTAGTCTTTTTCTTTCAGGGTGCTTTCAGCAAGTTATTGAACGTTGAACCTCCATTTTCTCATTTTTAAGTTATCTCAGTGACTGAAATCATTTTGAGGGTTAAAACAGGTAGCAAATACAAAAGTACGAAGAAACAATGCATGACACATAAAGAGTGCTTCATAAGTGTTAGGTCCCTTTATTCTTTCTCCCTCTTATCTGTTCAGTATTTATATTTACCACGGAAATATTAGATGATGTTGCTATAAGATGGTAATATTTTCCATTGCCTCAGTAACCAGATAATGTATCTGAAAGCTAAATTACAAATGAGTTGCTTCTTGTTCTTTTCTAAAGACTATTACATCTGCTTTATATGGTGATTTTTAGGGTAATCTAATGAACCTATTGCGAGAAAGTTCTCTTAAAGCAATTTATTAAGTACATTCCACACTAAGTTTTTGAAAAGCTTTAACTTCATTTTAATTTATTCTTTTTTTACTAAAATCATGTTTCTTGCCCTGGATTTGTTTTGTGGTCTCTGTTTTTCTGGGTCTAATAGCTCAAGGTCTTAATGCCGGCTTGACGTTAAAAAATTACGTTCCAGTGTGCCTCATTAATTCAACAAGGTTCTAGTCACCATGCTTAATGCTATTATAGCTAATAAAGAGAGAACCTTAAATTAATTTTCTATCTTACTGATTAATATTCCTTCTGACATTCTCTCTCTTTTCTCCAACACAATGAAAACAGGAAAAAAATCATAGCCATTTCAGATGTCTGTACTCTTCCTACATGAAATCTCTTGAGGCAATTTTCCCCAAACTAAAAATCAGAACCAGTATATTTGAATTTGGCATAGATTGACTCTATCTAACAACCCATCTGAGATAATACTAGAGAACAGCTGCTAGCTGGTTTCAGACCCTCTGGTTAGTGTCAGAGAGCACCCTGGCAGCCTTGTTCCATCCCCAAAGTGAAGCAGATTGCCACAGTACTTAGCAACACTGTCTGCCACCTACTTGCTCTGCCTAATCAGAAAGTGCCCTGTGAATACATACTGCTGGAGCCAACTGGTCTACTGTTCTTATTTGAGATCCATGTTACCACTCTACTCTTTTTTGTGCAT